GGGATAGGCACACCACACAAGCTCAATTACTCAAGGTAAATTTTGGGATATTTTACAGAATGAAGCCGAAATTATACACAGGGTGTTCCATAAAAATTGTATTCCCACATACTTGAACCCTCAACCCTTATAAACAGATGTCTCAAAAGAAATTGTAGAGATTATCCAAAGTTACATTTCTCTCTCATATGTACGAGTGAAGGTCTTCTTATTTGCTATTAAAAACCCTCTCGTAGTTATACAGTACAAATGTATTTCTCTAATATATTTTACATTCAAAATATTACAAGTTCAATGCCAACGGAGAATGAAAAATGCAACTCATTTAAAATTATCATGCGTAATTGCTCAGATTATTAAAGCTCAAAGCTAAAACTAAAAGCAAACAAAGTGACTGTAAGTAAATGAAAGTATAATTTCTCCAAAAAGGATATTCCTGTACAAATAGAGGATGGTCAGAGCCTGCTTCATACCATGCAGACACGGGGAGAGAAAACTCTGACAAATTTCTTGGTATTGGGTCGAGACACCATCCGGCAAAACCTTCACTACGATTATGAAACTTTGACAAAACGACTCGCAGATACCAAGGGCACATTAGAGAGCTGTCTCCTGGAGTTGTCACAGTATGGTGACCGCACAGATCAGGTGAGAATGAGTACCTTTATTCCAAAAAGTTGGGAAATGATGCTTGCACTGATTTTGAGGAAAAACACTGAAGATTTTTTTCAGAGTCCAACAATTTATGCAATTTTTAAACTATCTCTTCATATGACTTGAAATAAGAAACAATTAAGGCACAGGGTGAGCCAAAAATGTTATTCTAAACAAATGTTAAAAACTAAGTCATTCAGCATTGTTTAAGATCATATTTATCACCATTAAACCTTTTCAATTTTCTTCATCTTAGAAGTATGGCTATATATTATACTAAAACTGAAGGGATTTTAGAGTAGATCACAATTATGGTATTGTTTTTCTGATTCTTTTCTCAGAAAATTAAAAATGGCTGGAATAGGCCATAACTTAGAGATATTATACTACAATGATCTATTTATTGAAGGGAAGAGTGCGATGGTAAATATTACATTGTGACTGTACAATTCATGATTTATATATGTTCGTTGGGATTCCCTACACCTTGGAGTTGCCAATTTCTAGTTGTAAATTGTGAATTGTAGGTTCTACAACATGAGTCAGAACATCCCCAGGTTCTACAACAACATGATTCAGAACATCCCAAGGTGCTACAACATGAGTCAGAACATCTATCACCAGGTTCTACAACATGAGTCAGAACATCACCAGGTTCTACAACATGAGTCAGAACATCCCAAGGTTCTACAACAACATGAGTCAGAACATCCCAAGGTTCTACAACAACATGAGTCAGAACATCCCAAGGTTCTACAACAACATGAGTCAGAACATCCCAAGGTTCTACAACAACATGAGTCAGAACATCCCCAGGTTCTGCAACAACATGAGTCAGAATATCCATCACCAAGTTCTACAACAACATGAGTCAGAACATCCCCAGGTTCTACAACAACAGGAGTCAGAACATCACCAGGTTCTACAACAACATGAGTCAGAACATACCAAGGTTCTACAACAAAATGCGTCAGAACATCATCAGGTTCTACAACAACCCGAGTCAGAACATCATCAGGTTCTACAACATGAGTTGTTTGGTTGTTTGCAAGCTAACGAAATATTGATGAAGTAGTGATTAATAGAATTTATTAAAGGCCCCGTGTAAAGTTTAAACCACTTTGGCTTATATTGTAGTCTTACCCAATGTTATCAAAGTGTGATATGTGAAACTTTTTTTTTAAATTTCAAAAAGTGGTTTTTGATAGACTTTTTGTTCCAAAATTTGTGAATTTATTTAAAACCAACTTTTAGAGGTCACTCATATCTTCTAATTAGCCACAATTCATACCAATGCATAGCATTCATCCTCCCATGTGTTTTGCCGAAAAAATTAAGAAAATCTGTTGATAAACAAGCGAGAAATGAACTTATCAGTGCATGAAAATGGTTCTGAGAAAAATGCATTTCAAAATTTTAGTTCTCATAGAAACCAATGGTACAATGATATCTAAAACATAATTTATTCTTCCTTTTAACCTGGTTAGACAATCAACATTGTTTTTTATGAAAGTCTAGCATATTTAGAAAAGATTGACATTGAAAAAAAAAATTCAATTTTTTTCAAAAAGTTTTTGTTACCTTAGTGACATCACTAATGTTTCAAAATATTTGTGATAAGCTAAAACATTGAAGTGGCCCATTAAATATGACATTTTATTATTGAAATAGTGTGTCTTATGTTCAATCTTTGCATTGGTGTTAAAAAGATAATCTTTTTTGAAATGCATTAAGAAATATTTAATGATTAAGAAATTTCAACCTTTTAAAAAATATGGCGGGAAATTTGAATATTTGAGAAATGAAATGCTCACAACTTTTTTTTCAAAATTTTTTTTTTGTTCAAAAATCTCTAAAATCACTTTTTAAGTCCTAACAAATAGTAAATGAATTATAAAAAAATATTTTCAAACTTTAGACGGGGACTTTAAGTAAATTGATCAGAAGTATTTGAATTTATAGTACCTACGAAAACATATATTTCGTGAAAAATATCACAGACTCTCGATAGCTAATACATTTTTATAGTCTCAGGGTGTTATTTAGATGGAAATCGGTGTTTGTTTCAAGGTTACAATGAATGTGTGCAAACCATCTTTTGTTGAAATGCCTTGTTAACTTTATGTAAAGATATTCATTTGCAATAACTTTGTAAAGTACATGTAGTCATTTAATAAGAGAAATCTTAAATGGATGAATTGTGGTGCCCCAATAAGTGGAGAGTATAAGATTTCTACTTGGCGAATAAATATGAACACTGTTATTTCAATACAGGATATATCATGCAAAAAAATTGGAGATTGGTTAGCTCATTACATTTGGAAGATCTTAAAGATATTCAATTAGTGGTTCTTACACAGTTTGCCTCTGAGAATAACAAGGCGTCTGTTGTTGGTAAACATTGGATTTCTTCTAAAAATTCAAAAATTGAAGTAGCATTAAGCGGTTCTTTTGTTTATTGTATTTTTGAGTTTTTGAGGGCTTCCATTGACATTTAATCATGGGGTTATGGAAATTGTTTTTTCTTGTCAAATTTAACCAGTAATTGCATTATTCATTATGTAGGCATTTTAGTTTATGTGGACATACCTGAATCGGTGCATTTTCTGTTGTGTTATTGCCAACTCAAGGGTATGATATTGAGAAAAATATCGATTATGATCCTTTTAGCTGTGATCACTTAGGTTTTCATACTCTACAGCTACTATTTTTATTTGCATTAAACATGTTGAAAATCATCACTCACTATAATATATCAATCAGTTCTGTTAATCAAAATCAATGTGTTAATATTGAGACAAAATTCAATAAAAAAGTCACATTTGCACTCATTGGAATTGTGCGCTCATTAGAGATAATATTACAGGTATATGTATTACATTTTTTATATCTTATATACAACAGTAGAACCTGTTTTAGTGCACACCTCTCTCTAGTTATCACCACTTTAGATAGATTTCACATCGACTCCTGTATATAATCCCATCTAGTTAGAAAATACCTACCGTGAACACTTTTTGTGGCTCAATAGGTGGTCACTATTTACAGGTTTTACAGTATTTGAATTTATTGGAATATATGTAAATGTGCCTTTATTTGTGATCGATGTACAATGGACTTGATGTTTCAATACTGAATGCATACATTTTTGGCTTTTGCAAAATATATATTGTCACTAGTCCACAGTAGGGGCAATAGGAATTAGCCACATCCAAAAATGGAGACAAAATTAATGTTTATGTTCAGGATTGAAGTGAGTCAACAGGTATATGCATAATTATAAAACTTTATAAATCGCTTGATAAAATGAATAGTCACATGGGTTGACCTTGAAATGGCATGTGTAAATAGTTATTTGCAATAGAAATAAATAAATCCGTACATCAAACTTTCTTTATTAGTTTATTTGGTCCAGACTTGAATACAGCATCAACTCCAAATACTTCAATGTAGTTCAAGGCCAGCTATTATCAGAAATTATAACATTAATTAAAACCTCATCTAATCCCAAATACCTTTGAACACGTAAACTTGAACACATAAGGATTCCAACTCCTAATTGCTATAGCCAATTCATCTTCGAGAACAAATTTTATTCTATTTGAGAGCCTATATCGGCATGAATTCAAACTGACAGAAAGGTAAAAGGTCGGGCAATTAATCCAATTCATGAATACCAAAGGATGCTACATCCCGGGTTTAGAGTGTTTTGCATTTCGTTCAGTTTATGGCGCCTCTCACTGGCAAAAGTTAAAATAGCACTGGTTTCGAGACTATTTAAATACGGGTCAAGGGATGCAGGATAAATGAGTCGGAGGATGATATATCTCCTGGGTTTTATACAGCATTTTATTGTTTTAAGTTAAAATCTGGGCTGTAGCCGGGATTTGACGGGGGGGGGGGGGGTCATTTTTATAAAAATCCAAGGGATTCACTTTTGAAATGGCCAAAAAATGACCAAAACCCTTGAAAAAGTGCTCAGCTGCATGGTTTTGAAAGCATTTTTGGCAATGGTAGAAGGTCCTGGCTACGGGCCTGTTACATAAGTTTGTTAATGATAGATTCAAACTGATAGCATGGTCGATCATACGGGGGTCCTATCCTTAAATCCATAAATACTCTGATAGGACGCTGTCCCGGGGTTTTTGTGTCGTTTCGTTCAGTAAATAGCACTGGTTGCGAGACTATTTTAGTACGTGTTTCGTATCCATATATACTCTGATAGGACGCTGTCCCGGGATTTTCGTGTCGTTTCGTTCAGTAAATAGCACTGGTTGCGAGACTATTTCAGTACGTGCTTCGAAAACCATCAGCACGGGTTTAGGAAACCCGGGTTCTGTCAGTGTTTGCCATCGACCCTTTCTCATTCATTTCCGGTTCAAGAAAATCTAAAAAAAACACTTCTTCAAATATTTCGCCTTATCGCTGTAAGTAGGTATCAAACCTCACATATTTTACAGTATTTTATACTTGTTATATATGTTATTAATTTGAAATGGAAAACTTAACTTCAATCTCCCCGAAATCAAAAGAAACGACTGTGTCAAATTTTGTGTAATTTTTTATTTATTTTTCCAATCTTTTTCATTGTGGCTATTTTTACCCAAGGTTAAAATGGCTTAATTCTATAACAGCCAATCAAATCAATTCCTGCCAAAATTTTCTTCCTTTGGCGGGTTTTCTTTTTATCTTCAGTACGTAAGCAAACATCAAGGTGTTCACACCTATTCATTTTTTACAGGTAAAGTAATTTGAAATTTTGTATCTTTCTTTTGTAACCAAATAGAGTGAATTTCAATCGTCTACTTCCCTTTATATCAAATACGAACGTAATTTAAAAATGTACGAATATATATTTTCTTGCTTCAGACATGGATGTAAAACTTATTGAATTTCCTTCCAAAAAGAAATTTCATTATTTCGGAATGTCAATTTATGTATAATAAGAATTTTGTTTGATACGAGTACGTAAGCAAACATCAAGGTGTTCACACCTATTCGTTTTTTACAGAAATGATTCACCCACCACACCCACACCAGTTTTCCTCATTTAAATTGTTATAAGTTAAAGTTAGGAATATTATTTCCGCATTAGCGGTTAAATTGAAGCTTGTACACCATAGGATATGGGTGTTTCACACCTTTTACTTTTCCATGCTAAGGGAATATGTCCCTGCTGGGTATTTCAGTTTCACAATTATTCAACATCAGTAACCTATTGTGTACGAGCATCACAGCTAGCGCCAAATTTTTATTTTATTTTATTATGTTATTAGAATAAGAGTTATTTTATTTTTGTAATTTTAAGTTTTGTATTTTAAGTTGTTATTTTAAGTGTGTATATTATGTTGGTGATTACTTTCATAAACAAATAAATAAATCATGAAATGTCTAATAATAAAGACATTAAAAATAAAATAATAATTGTGTCATTTTCATGTGGTAATTTATTTTATCACATGCTCTGTAAAATTCCAGTAATCTGATTGGTTGATAACCGTGTGAGTTTTCCCGTCTCACACGGCCGTCTCACACGTTACTAGAGGCAACCAGTGATGATCGATAGCAACGATGTGACGTCACTGATTATATCACTTCTAGCTAAGGAAAACAATATGACGTCATACTATTTCACAAACAAGTACGAATACAACGGTATGACGTCATATTGTTTCAAAGCGAAATCAAAAATTATAATAGTTACCAGAAGTACACGGGGTTCTGAACACAATCATTACTGACCAAATCAAAATGCTTCAAAATTCCTAGACATGTGATAAAATCGTCATCACACGTTTCAGCTTATGTGATACAGGAAATATTCCACTCGGGTAACAATGTATCACCACTCAAGCTTCGCTTTCGTGGATGATACAATATTACCTTTCGTGGAATATTTCCTGCATCACATGCTGAAACGTGTGATAACTGATAGTCTCTCAAGTAGAATGTACTTTGTGAGGTTGTGGAATGAATTGTGATAGCCTAGCCTAAGCTTATGATTGATATTGGCAGTTAAAAATTCGATTCAGGACCATTAGAACTATAACGTTTCATGTTTTTGAAAATTATTATGCTCTAAATAGTCTTGAAAATCACTCCGCCATCTTTAGAAATTATTGCTGTTGTTGTGTTGCATAAGCTGCTGTTTCCTCGGCAGTTCGTCTCTTGTACTGTAACTTCACTTTGTGCTCTCTTATGTGCTTAAATTCTCACTTGTTGCGCAAATTTTGTATTCCATTATTTTGTATATATTGCATGTCTTGATTATGTTTCTAACCAAACTTGTTTCCTGATAGATTACAGTAGTACCGTATTTACCCTATCGAGAATAAACCCTGATTCATTTATCAAACACTAGATGGTGCTAAAATAGGCCAGAAAAGGCTTTTTTAAATAACCAACGGTAACCACCAGTATCCCTACTCTGAAGTATATTCTAAATGTAGAGATAATGTATTTTTAGATTTCATTTTCACATATAAACCAGGCATAATAAATGATTTCTCTACTTCTGTCAAGGTTTATCTACAGTAAACCCCCAGCTATATTTGTCCTGTTTAGGTAGTTTTAATCATTCCATTTGTTAGTCTTTTATTGAATCAGCAGCATTTTAGCAATACTCACCAATCTGATGTTTCAGTTAAAAAGTAAAGGGATGAGTTGAAATTCATTTTTTTGTGATGTCAGACATGTTGTTCCAAGTCTCAGATAAATTAATTTCATCCTTATATGATAATTCTAGGTAACAATGAATTATAATGAGAAATCATCTGGTGATAAGATGAAGGATGATTGGTTTGAGAGACTACAGAAGTTACAAGTGACGCGAGCAGATATGAACAGCCTTATTATGAACTACCTTGTCACAGGTAACTGTAGAAAGCATAAAATGTTACTCACCCCTTCAGTTCCTCATTTATAATTAAGGATTTAAGTCAATGAAATAACCAAACTTGCTGTTATTTTCGCCATTCCCAGGTGTCATAATCCTAATACAACACAATACATGTACATAGATTCCTGGAAGCAGATTGAATAGAGCACGGTCGTGCCTGTATGGAGAAATAATGGATGTTCATTATTGGCTATGCTGCATTCTGATTGGTTTAGAAATTCAAATAGAGCACGGTCATGTTTGAATGATGATTATTTCGTACTTTTCATTATTTTTCACTTAACAAAAACTTACTTATTAATTACTTATGTTACTTTTTCATTTCAGAGGGGTTCAGAGAAGCTGCAGAAAAGTTCAAAATGGAATCTGGTATACAACCAAATATAGACCTTGATACACTGGATGAGAGGATCAAAATAAGAGACGCAATTCAACGAGGCAAAATAGAAGAAGCAATTTCATTGGTTAATAATCTCCAGCCAGAGTTATTAGATAATGATAGATATCTCTTCTTTCATTTACAAGTAAGGTTGATGTAATGTTAGATATCTCAGAAACATTGTGTATCAATGTACCGATACATCCATTTCCCCATATTGCAACATGTATTAGAAAAAAAGGTGTTCTGCATATTCATTTATTTGCCAGAAATATTTCTGTAATAGCAATGCTGTCATTTGATAAATACTTTTGGCTCATATGATGAGCCTTTCAAATAGGCTCACTTGTTCGTCAACAATTTTCAATGAAACTTGCAATTTTAAATATAAGTAAGACTGAACTAATGCTGGTATCCAGTTTATGGGGTCCGTACTGGTACAATTTAGTCTAGGTCTTGTTTTTGCCTTGTTTTGGAGAAATCAGCTTTCTTCACCATGTTCCCCCACCCACTGGTACCATTTTCTTGTAGTGCATTTCTGATATAAATATGTTTTGGGGTTTAGAAAATTCTTGATGAAAAGTATACCATGATTTTTCTGTAAAAGATTTTTGTCAAATAAAAAATGGTACCACCTTTTGACAACTCATGAGCTAAAATAACACATTTCCCTTATATTGTATTCGTATAGCCTTATTGTTATTTGTACAAATTTTGTCATTTATTCCAGCAACAACACCTTATAGAACTCATACGAGACAGAAACATAGAGGCAGCGTTAGACTTTGCACAGACTCATCTGGCAGAACGGGGAGAGGAAAACCCTGAGATCCTTTCTGAGTTAGAACGGACATTAGCTCTGTTAGCATTTGAAGAACCTGAAGCGTCACCCTTTGGAGAGCTCCTACACCCCTCACAGAGACAGAAGGTATTTTAATGTACATGTTTGATTTGAACGGTATTCAAAGGTAGAATCAGATCTAGCAAGTACAGTAGTCAGTATCATGTTCTTATAGTCCCCGATCTGATTTCCAAAAGGGCTCTAGAAAAGGGGTTTTGTTGTCCGGTACTTTCCCACATAAAATGATTGTACCGTTTGAAAGAACAGACTTCCCTCCTAAAGAAAACACCTCTTCTATTGATGTAAACAGGGGCAAAAGGCACCAAAACGGGGTTAGACAAGGTGGCATTCTGAAGTTTCACTTTCTTGTCATCACGATTCCAGGTAAACCATTAGACGGATGTACTTCAAATTTTCACACATGTTACATGGTAAGAAGTTCTAGAGCTGATTAACTTTGCGGCGGCCATCTTGCATTCCGGCGGCCATCTTGGAATTTTTTTCAGATAAATATTGTCATCGCGATTCGAAAAAAAAACATAACAGATGTTCTTCAAATGTTCACACATGTAACATGGTAAAAAGTCCTAGACCTCATTATTTTTTCGGTGGCCATCTTGCATTCTGGCAGCCATCTTGGAAGTTTAAAGATAAATCTTGTCATCACGATTTCAGGAAAACCGAACGGATTTACTTCAAATTTTCACACATATTACATGGTAAGAAGTTCTAGAGCTAATTAACCTTTCGGTGGCCATCTTGCTTTCTGGCGGCCATCTTGGAAGTTTTTTGGATAAATCTTGTCATTATGATTCCAAGAAAACCACTTTACTGATTTTCTTGAAACTTTTACACATGTTACAAGGAAGGTTACATGCTACCTTTTATATTGATATAAACAGGGGCAAAAGGCAGTAAAGTGGGGTTACACAAGGTGGTATTCTAAGGAGAATGTTATCTATTTTTCTGTATTTTAAACCACATAATTTGACATAAATGCATATTTGGTGAATGATATCATGTTTTATATTGATAGAAACATGGGCCAGAGGCGCTACAATGGGGTAACACATGGTGATATTCTAAAATACATATTTTTACTCTGCTTCTGTACTTTATACCACTTAAATGCATTTTGCGATGACATCGATTGATTTGTAGAATAAATAACTATATTTCATCAAAAAGAAAAAAGATTATTGAAAACGTCAAACATTTCTTTGAAATCCATTGTTGCACAGCGATTTTTGAGAGCGAAATGTATGCTAAATTGGCCTTGATCTGAGTATATAACGGAATTAAAGCTCTTTTAAACGAAAATGTAAATGTGTAGAAAACCTTTCACTGTGCATCATGTCAACTAAATGTTCTTCATGCAGTTGAATTATCTTCTGGACAGGTGATCACACAGAAGGAGAGACATGCGTATCATATCCTTAAATATAAACAAAAATGACAAATGAGAAAGGAAAAAAGTGTAAAGCAACCTAGTGGGAAAAGCAAACTGTAAAGTGTAAAACTGGCAAACAAAAATCAAACCTGAATATCCCAAGACAATAATCTAATATGGGAATAAACAGCATCCACACCGTTCAATGACCAATTCCTCATCAACGACCACAACTCCGAGGGACATTCCATTCATACTGAAGTCATTAAAATACATGTTGAAGAAAAATTGAAAATAATGATATCCAATACTCATAAGATCAAAAATAGTTGTAGATACTATAGTACTCATAAAAGCTGCAGATAACGTTTCTTCATCGGGAAAGCAAGCTGTCTCTTAGTCAGATATTAACTAACGAGCTGGTTGAGAGCACCAGCATGTCAAACTATGTGAATGGGCTCTGTATCCACAATGTTGCGAGTTCGAGACACATGTGCTCTTTGCGTTTAATAATCAACAAAAATCACTTAAACCTGCACTAAAACTGTGTGTCAGATCGATATAAGTATAGGGTTTGGAAACTAATTGTACCAACAAAAAAGAACTTAAAAAACACTGCTACAATATCAACATAAGCTTTCAATAGTAGTGATGATGCAGAAACATGCAAAATGTCACCACACCTTGTTAAGTATACAGTACACATTAACTACTGAACGTTCGAAGCTATTACAACATGTCACCCAATCACTAGTGGTGGTGACATAAAAATAATGCATAGAAAAATCTACTGAACCAAAATAAACTTTGTTATAGAAGAACTGATTTTTTACTCTAAGTTTTCAACTAAATATATTTCTAATAAGCAATGTTTTATCGAAAAGAAAAAAGAATTTCATGTTATATAAAATCAAATAAATTAATTATATTTTTTTCGTTGTGTTAGTTACACCAGTAATAATAAACCTGTTTATAAAGTGGTGTTAACTAGACTATATAATTTAATAGTCATAAAAGTAATAATAAACCTGTTTATAAAGTGGTCTTAACAAGACTATAGAATAAAACATAAAAAAAATATATTTATCTACAAACTTCCAAGATGGCCACCAGAATGCAAGATGGATATCGGAAAGTTAATCAGCTCTATAACTTCTTACCATGTAGCATGTGTGAAAATTTGAAGTAAAACTGTTACGTGGTTTTCATGGAATCGTGATGACAAGATTTATCTAAAAACGTCCAAGATGGCCGACGGAATGCAACATGGCCACCGAAAAGTTAGTCAGCTCTAGAACTTCATACCATGTAACATGTGTGAAAATTCAAAGTAAAACTGTGAAGTGGTTTTTCTGGAATCATGATTACAAGATTTATCTATAAACCTTCCAAAATGGCTGCCAGAATGCAAGATGGCCACTGAAAAGTTAATCAGCTCTAGAACTTCATACCATGTAACATGTGTGAAAATTTGAAGTTAATCTGTAAGGTTGTTTTCCTGGAATCACGATGACAAGATTTATCCCAAATTTCCAAGATGGCCGCCAGAATGCAAGATGGCTGCCGAAAAGTTATTCACCTGTATATTTTCTTACCATGTAACATGTGTGGAAATTTGAAGTAAATCCGTTTGGATTTCCTGAAATCGTGATGACAAGATTTATCTTAAAACTTCCAAGATGGCTGCCAGAATGCAAGATGGCCACCGAAAAAATAATGAGGTCTAGGACTTTTTACCATGTAACATGTGTGAACATTTGAAGTACATCTGTTATGTGGTTTTTGTGGAATCGCGATGACAATATTTATCTGAAAAAAATTCCAAGATGGCCGCCAGAATGCAAGATGGCCGCCGCAAAGTTAATCAGCTCTAGAACTTCTTACCATGTAACATGTGTGAAAATTTGAAGTAAATCCGTCTGATGGTTTACCTGGAATCGTGATGACAAGAAAGTGAGACTTCAGAATGCCACCTTGTCTAACCCCGTTTTGGTGCCTTTTGCCCCTGTTTACATCAATAGAAGAGGTGTTTTCTTTAAGAGGGAAGTCTGTTCTTTCAAACGGTACAATAATTTTATGTGGGAAAGTAACGGACAACAAAACTTTTTTTCAGAGGGTCCAGATCAGGGACTATTATACCTTCAACAATTTATAACAATCATTTATCTTTTGGAAGATAATATATTTGGGATTGTAAGGAATATATTGGAAGGTCAATTGTACATGTTGCTTCCAATTTTGTCACACCCTATGGATCTGATTCTGCCCTTATAGACAAATTCAGTACAAATGCCACCTATTGGTTATGATGTTATTAGAAAGGTTTTGCACAGTGGATTATAGCTAAAATGTATCCACTATCGCATCATGTTTTAATTTAACTACGATGCATAAATCTGGTGAATGTGTTATAGATTTAAATATGTTGGGCTAAAAACTTGTGAAACCTCTCTTTTCTTATAATTTTGAAGTAAAAACACGTTGCTGCTCTTCAAAAATTTTCTGGGCAGTAAATTTAAGGATGGTCCTTTGAAATTAGACAATTTTTGAACATTGTGTGTCTTTTGTCGATTGATAATAAGCAAAGATACCTTTAAATTGGAATCGTATCAAGAGAGGTTTTGAAATTATGCCACTATTTTTGATAGACTAAGAACAGACAAGTGGGAAAGGCAATGATAAACTCCATCAGTCCGTTTGTTTGGCGAAAAATCTGCAACTTCAACATGTTGAATCCTCTTTTCTCCAGGTCGCCAGTGAGCTAAATGCTGCCATCCTAGAGATGGAGAACAGAGACTCTACACCTAAACTTGCAAACCTACTAAAACTTTTACTCTGGGCACAGGACCAGTTAGACAGTAAAAAAGTGAAATATCCAAAAATGACCGATCTGGCTAAAGGAACGATAGATGATCCGAAATGACGGTTATCTGCCGTTGATATCGGCCTCGAGACAGTAAAGGGATACCTGGAGTCACTTACATAATAACATTGGACTATAGTCAATGGAAATTGGACTTGATGAGAAGTGGTGGGAAAACAGAATTTGTATATCATTGTACTATTTATTTATCATTAGTAACATATTGGCTCATTTCACTTTGTAAATGATAACTCATAAAGCAAAGTAATTATCAAGAATTGAATTCACTAAACAGCAGGAGAAAGCTGGATCTCAAATTAAATATGCAAATTAAATTAAAGGAGAGGTCATAATGACAGGGGTGTAGGCAGGATCTCAAATTTGATGAGGCAAATGAGTCGAAATCAAATAACTCTATCATGAGAGTTCATTTCCACATTTTCGATTGAAAATAATGTGTGGATTATTATTTTTCTATAAAATTTTGGTGACTCTCACCTGCCTCATGCATGGCTACTCCCATGTCAAGGTCATGAAACTGTGATTCACATTACAATCCCCACATACTATATCCTATGATATTGCAATATCTTTTTTAACATCTGTAGATGTCAATTTTAGTCTTAATATGCATATGAGAAAGGGTGGTTGGTGTTTTTTAATTCACTCTGAAAACTGAATTTCAGTGATAATATAAATTTCAGTTTCAAACAAGATTTTCAACAGCATATATATCAGTATATTGTAATTAATTCTGGCGAATCAGTTTGTATAACACTTTCTTTAGATACATGCATTTATTGTTGTTGATGGTATGGTGAGGCATCAACCTTGAAGTTGAAAAGATATTCAAATTTATTGATTCAACATTTGTAATATTTGCCCCATCCCTAAATATGAAATATCCAGCATTGATATATCAAAGTGGTCTTTGTATTGTAGAATTGTGTTGGTGTGAAGGCGTTGATTTGACCAAGTTTTAAAATTCACCAATTTTTGATTTACTTTAAAATGGTAAATTTTAACCATGATTTCCAATGGAACTGCAGTATAGTTTCTCATTGTAAATAGCTGATATGTGCAGCTCATATAAGGGCACATAACTCAATTACTGTACAAATAAATAATTTACAAACAATAAAGTTTATGTAATAAAATATATATTGTCATTTTTATACAAACATTTTCTTACATACACATGTCGTTTTTTTGTCAAGAAGAAGAGACACATGTTCCGTTTTAATAACAAATACATATTAACTGCACCATCCAGGCAGGAAATAAAATTCACAAATCACATTCAGTCAACAACATCCAAGACATATTCATACATAGATTCATACATTAAGTCATAAAATTATGGAAATTTTAATGTGGCAGAGATTTGGATTTTGGGAAAGATTGTAAACTGAATAAAGTTTTCAATTCTGCAATTACGTGCAGGGTAAAGTCTGAACACACTTTTCCAGTAATACATCATACTAGTAGTCATTGGATTGGCATTACACAAGGAGAATTTGCTTACAATTATTCCATTGGCTATTGATCTGAGGAGCTATTGTCTTCTCTGTCGTCAGAGGTTCTAGAAATATCCTTTTCAATCCTTCATTGGCATTAAGTCTGCGACTCTAGCTTTAATCAATGATTCATATTTAATTTCATTGATTGGTTAAAACATAACATAATATCACTTTCCTGTGAAGTATAAAATTCTCATGTTCAAAGGACACTGTATGAAATGCCTTGTACTATTTTGTTCTTTGTTCACCAACCAAACATGTATTCCATTGCCTTAGATACAATGTTTGAGCTTTTACGTGGCGTGCTACCATTCTGTACGACCTGAAATCAAATGAAAAGCAAACATGCAATGTAAAGTCAACCATAAAGCAAACAAATCATTTGCATCATACATTTACATAACTTATATTTTAGGACCTAAGAAATTCTGAATTGGTACCTCTTAAAAGTGTTCTACTCGGTTGGGAGGTGTTCTGCTTAGTGGTTCATGTTAAAGTAGATGGATTACAGTGTTCCATACATGAAGGTGTTCTACTAATAGGAGTGTTTTACTCGACAGTTTTACTGTACTCCTAATAGGTTCTACATGTTTTTGATAAATATAACATTTAAAAGTGGTTATAAAAAGAGTCCATATTCAGCTTTGTTCACACTAAAGAGGCACAATGTGTCTATACCTCATGTTCACTACTGGCAGCTCTATATGCCGCAGTGAGTGGTCTTATTGGTGTTGGTCTCATACTTTGGTCGCAGCTCATGTCAGCTAAGTGTGGGGTGTGGCCACCAGGAAACTGTGACGTGTTAAGATGACTGAGCTGTGATGTGTTTACTGAGGATGCTGGGACAGCCTCCATTATGCTCTGAAATAGACATTATTCACACATAGCTAGCATACCTGCCAACCTACCGTATTTTTACGGGAATCTACCGTAAATTTTTCGTTTTTCCGTAAAAAAATGACAAAATACCGTAAGAAAATGCCATTTTTTTCCCGTAAAAACGCCCGTAAAAAAATCTACCGTATTTTTTCCGAAATCTACCGTAAATTTTTTTTTTAAAAACTCGTTTTTTCCATGAGAACGGCCGTAAATTCTACCGTAAATTTTTGAAAATCTACCGTAAATGTTTGAAAATCTACCGTATTTCTGCTAAAATCAACAGTATTTTTGTTCAAACTACCGTAAAATCTCCCGTTTTTGTTTGGAAATGCTTAAAATTGAAGTCTTTCTGTACTGTCCCTGTAATAACCTTTACCAAACCGAATATAAGGTATCGGCAGGATATTGAATCGATTCAAAATTCTAAATCACATTCCCCGTCCGGGAAAGTCCATGAAGTTCGTAGAACGTTGTAGCTACGTTCATTCAGTTCGCACACAGTTTAAAACCGATTCGGCAACGTTTTGCAGAACGCAGAGACAACTGTTTCTGGTGTGATAGCTATTTTTGTTAATTCGTTCATAAGCAGTTTTTAATACGTTCATCTCGTCTTTATTCCGTCTGCAGTACGTTGGTATCAAGTTTAGATGGGGTTAAATTGTGCGTTCGTCTGGTCTACACAACGTAACCAAGCAGTTCAATTACGTCCTTAATCAGTTTAAACCAGTTGACAATTAGTTGTACCTCGTTCTCAATACGTCCTAATATGTTACTGAATTATCCACCAAATTTCCATACGGTTGAACTCGTTCTAAAATAGTAAACATCGTGTCCCTAATCCGTGCAGAACGCATTTATTTTTTTCGGTTGAGTTGGGTCTGTCTACGAACAGAATGAACGAGCTACAAACGGACTAGATTGGGGTACTCACGGCTGCAATTTACGCCTGACTACACAACGTCGTAATACGTCCCTAGTAGCTTTGAAGTACGACACTTCCGTTCGTAGTGTGTCCCCAGTGCGCCCAGGTCGTCTTAAGTACGTTATCACTCGTGCTGATTGCAGAACGTGACGATCACCAGAAAATTTTGAGCATGCTCTAAGTTCTGGAGGACCTACTCGTTCAAGTAGTTTCATGAAGTTTGTAACAGATCCCAAACGGTTCTTAGTGGGTTCTTAGTAAGAACGTAGTGAGAACTAGTTTGGTGTGATAACAGGGTTAACATACTGTTTTATTCATTAGTTTTTTAGAAATCTACCGCAAAAACTACCGCATTTTTTCAAAATCTAACGCAAAACTATTGCATTTTTTCAATTTTTTCCGCAAAACTAGTTCTTTTAAAATCTACCGCAAAAACTACCGCATTTTTTCAAAATCTACCGTAAAAGTACGCATCTTTTGCATATATTCCGCAAAAGTACCCGTTTTTCAAAAAATTACCGTAAAAACTACCGCATTTTTCGAAATCTACCGTAAAACTACAGCATTTTTTCAAAATCTTCCACAAAACTACCGGTTTTTAAAAAACCACCGTAAAAACTACCGCATTTTTTCAAAATCTACCGTAAAACTACCGCATTTTTTCAGAATCTTCCGCAAAACGACCGATTTTTCAAAAAACTACCGTAAAAACTACCGTATTTTTAAAAATCTACCGTAAAACTACCGCATTTTTTCTAAATCCTCTGTAAAACTACCGCTTTTTTAAAAATCTACCGCAAAAAACTACCGCTTTTTAAAAAATTTCCCGCAAAAACTACCGTATTTTCTAAATCTACCGCAAAAACTACCGTTTTTTACAAATCTACCGCAAAAACTACCGGATTTTTGTTGAAAAATACCGTAAAATCTACCGCATTTTGAAAAAATCTACCGCAAAAATACAGCAATTTTAAAAAAATCTACCGCAAAATTTTGGTCTTAGGTTGGCAGGTATGGCTAGGCAAGGTGTTTCCAATTCCAGCCAATTCGAACATGCTATTTCACGTAACTGCATTCTGTTATATAACCAATAACGCAGTTGTTATGTGGTTGCCATGGTGAGGAGATTTAAACTGATGCTTTGCCAACCTGACCCTTGCAAAAAATTCATTGAAAATATGTTATTTTCGTGATTTTGTCTTGTGTGAAAAGAAATTAAGCCCAAGACTCAATGCATTTTTGGCTGCTTCATTCCACTCAGGCATTGTTTCCTAAACACTAAATACTGAAAATCTATAGTTCAATAAGCAGCTCACATCAAGACTGTCAATCCCACTCACCTTATCAATACATGGAGACACCCCCACCATAATACTATTGCCAAATATTTTCCCGTTTTTGCTCAGTGCTTTCTTAGCTTGTATTTTTGACTGGTAGTGTAGATGCATCCAGTTGCCTTCAGTGGCTACCTGGAAATAACAAATTGGAAAAGCATGTAAGAGCAGACAGTGGAAATAAGGTTGGTCTTGGGACAATTATTTGAACTATTATTTGAACAGCCATGGCTGGCATTTTTACAAACAAAGTATATAGCAAAAATGGCAGCCATTTTTCAAAATGGCCACCTTCTACCAAAAGTGCCATTAGACAGTGTGCCATGCTTCTAGTATTCACATACCAAATATGAACAAAATCACTGCACTACTTTTCGAGTTATAGTAAAATACATTAAAATGGCAAATGGGCGCCTTCTACCAAAAGTGTCATTAGACAGTGTGCCATGCTTATAGTATTCACATACCAAATATAAACAAAATCGCTCCACTACCAAATATAACAAAATCGCTCCACTACTTTTCGAGTTACAGCAAAAATCGTAAAACCTGCACATCGCTCCAAAACGCAATATGTTGACATATATTGTTTTTACATTTTTAAGCTCTAATATAAAGTTAACCAAACCCGTCTGGCCCAGTAATCTACTCCCGATTCTGAATTGTCGTAGATCTAGGGCCAGACAAGGTCCAATGCAAAAAAGGGGGTATTTACTCCAGAAAAAACATGTCGCTGAATCATCACTTATTATTCATTCCCTATTAGCCATCCAACCAAAACATTGGGTACCATGTAAACCCAAGTATTTATTTGAAATAAAGAGTACATAACTTACGCGTAAATGTGGTGTTTTGTTTGTTATATTGATGTTGAAATGGGCACAACATTTCGTCAATATTTCATCAGTTCTCCGCACCGAATAAAGTTACGTGATGTGACGTAACACGAGTGTGACGCGATAATTTTTAAACTTTCATGGAACGAAAATACATTTCCCGGGAATCAATACATTCCAAATATTACGATTTGTTCAGCAGATTTGTTATGAAAATGTAGATTACTTTATAAAACAGACGTGTCTGTGTTGTATTTAAACTGGAAAGAAATATGGTGGACATTAAATACGATTTTTCAATTTGTTGAACTGACGGAATGTAGTACTGAACGAAATAAGCAGCCGAGACTTCTCGATATTCTACGAGATCACGAACAGATTGCAGAAGAATTTTTCTTTTTGCTGCGTTTAGACGTTTCGTTCTTATTTATTAGCCATCATCCAGCGATGGAAACCTAATATAAATACAAAGTTTGATACAAGGAACAAACACGTAAGTTTATTCATTTATCAGCACGTATTATACATTGAAAAACCAGTGTTTTTTCTGGAGTAAATACCCCATTTTTTGCATTGGATCGAGTCTGGCCCAGATCTACGACGTCGGGAGTAGATAACTGGACCAGACGGGTTTGGTTAATATAAAGTTTATGTAAATAAAAATTGTTTTTTCTGCGTAATATCAAAGAACAATCATTTAGTTAAAAAAAATAAAAAGGCGAATGCGGGATTCGAACCCGGGCCTCCCGCGTGCTAAACGAGAATTCTACCGCTACACCACCGTCTTATTATGAATGGTGGAAGTAATTAAAAGCTACTTATTTTGAATGCTATGATTCGGAAGTGACGTCACGTTCTTCATTTAGAAACCTTTCCACAATCATATCGTCGGCGCCGATCGAAGCAATTCAATGAAAAATCTTTGAAATGACACATTTATCGTAAGTATTTCTACACAAGATTTGCCCCATTTGTTCATCATTCTATAATCTTTCATTAAGCTCAAAATGATAAAGTCACCCCCAAAACAACCCAAGATTGCGTTTTGGAGCGATGTGCAGGTTAAAATAACGAGTAAAGGCCGCAAATTTGCACTAAAATGGCCGCCATTTTTAAATGAGCGGCCATTTTGAAAATCGGCTTTCGAGCAGAACTTCTACCCCAATAGGGTATGTGTGTACAAAATATGTACAAAATCGGGCCAACAGTATTTGAGTTATTGCCTCTGAACTTCGTTCAATGGGATAACAACAGTGAATTTCATGAAACATGATTTTGTTTTCTATGGCCTTATCACAAAGAACTTAATCTGAAAATAATGCTGGTATAAATTTAAATTACATAAGTACAAAGATACTTACCACATGTTTCAATATATTGCCATACTGGGAAAATTGCTGCATAACAAAAGATGTCGCTGCTGGTGGAAAGCCATATATGGTCACCCATGTTTCATCTAATATTTCATCTGGAGATATTGCCTCTCTGAAAAAACACAACAAAATTGAGCCTCATAATCGTATGATCAGATTTGTAAATTGTCATCCAATATTTAAGAGGTTGGAATAAAATCAACAAAAATGTTCTTACATTACATTTTAAAAAGCATTTTTGTTGGATATCAATTGAAAATTATTTAATGTCCATTATATTTAGAATGTTAATACACATTCCAGAACCTTTATCAAAATCAACAGATTCTTTATCTTTAAATCCAATATCCAAATGTCCCAAAAAGTGTCATTTTATGAACCCTCTAGTATACCATTGTAACCTTTAGAAGTACAACTCGAAAAAGCAAATGAAACTAGATATTTTACTGGATAATTTGCATGCTTATGGTAACTAAAATAGGTTGTAATTCACAGGCCATATAAACAACTTCTACTAAATTATGACTTTCTTAAATAAAACAAAGAATCCTGTAGAATTTCAGTTCTGCATTACCCCTATATCTATATTTAATCCACATGTATACATACCCCTGTGTGTAAAAGGGATCTACTTGGGGTGGAGATGATGCCACAGACTGCTGAATAAAACTATGACTCTGATTGGGACTAAAAATACTCTCATTACCTGCAACAAAGATTGTGTCACATATTATAACATGTACAAATACCAGTTCGTTCAATAAGTTCTCGGAAAAATGCTCTAGTTCAAAGATTTTCCCATGAAATTTTCACATAATATGTAAAAACATTAAATATCCACATCTCTGGTCAGAAATAATGGTTACTATGGTAACTTGACTTTTGGGTAGACAGGGAAAGAGAGATTGTCTAAAAATTTCATGAGAAAATATCGAAAATCCTTCAAATGAGAGCATTTTTCCGTGAACGCCCTGGTATATATATCACAATAATGAGTGAATAAACTGAAATAATAATATGAAAATTTGTTAGTCAATTTGATATTGATTTTCATGTAATATCTCTGAATGTTGTTTTCTTTCAATCAAAAATGTCATTTTCTTGGGGATTATTTTATGTGACTTGTGTCATATTCATCTAGAGTAACTGGCATATCCATTTTATTATGGACTGTGTTACAATGAAAACATTGCAAGGTTCTGTATTCATTAGCCCTTTGTGTAGACGTAAAGAAAACATATCATAGTCTATCAGATGTTGCAGTACTTGGAAGGGCTTGTTTATTGACTTATCATAGACAGGGTCTGTTGCATAGACTGACTAGCAGTATTTAGTATAGTACAATACCAGGGACCTCTTGCATAAATTAAGTGGAGTGCATTTGACTTACCATGGGCCTGTTGGGTAGACTGGCCAGGGGTATTGAGCATAGATCGGGATATTCCAGATGTTTCAAGCTAGAAAATACGAACAAGCATAAGTTTTAATAGTGAAAACGAAAAGTTTTTGCCTACTTCTTCTTTTCATATTTTCAATAAAATTATAGTTCGAAATATTTAGCCTACCTGAGTTGCCCCAGGGGGCCCAGGGTACGGACTCTGTGTGGGAGGGGCTGTTTGTTCCCACAAACCTTGCACTGGTGGGGCCCCGACCTTATCTTTTGTTCTATGTCCAAGAAGATCCCTGAAAACATGTAACTTACACATTACATTCGTATATTAACATTAAAAATACACATCCTGAATTGTATCCTTGATTGAAATTTAAACTTCACAACCAGCTTGGCTACAGATATTTCCCTTTCCAGTTATCAACATTTCAATATTTATATAAAGCATATAATATTTCAATCATTCTCTTCCATAAACATGAAAGAAGAAATATTAAAATAACTCATGATTTATGATTTATGAGAGATATGACTTTTATCCACAAATGGATATATGGAATCACAATTACAATTGTTTGCCCAAAAATTGTATTTTATTGGTTATAAATGTTTATCTTTGATTATGACAAAAGTTTGTTCATACATATATTTATCAAATTATAGCTAAAGGTACTCTGGGTCATTCTGATACTCGTAGCATCTTTCTGTTTCACCTGAAACATCTCTGGGCTGACAAGATTTGAGATGTCATGGTCTATCATGATGACTTTGGGTACATATATCTGAAGATGGTCCTTCCAGGCCAGAGTAAACAGCAAACATACCTCTGTCTTGTCTCCGTTCTAGGTGTATGTGATCCCATTGGTGTATGTGACCCTGCATGATTGGGTGATGTCCAAGATCCACTACGATTTAGGTTGATTTTGCTGGTGTTTGGACTTCCCCCACTGGATGATGACCATAGTCTTGGCTGAAACATAATCCATTTACAGGAAAGTTATTTATGGGAGTTTTTATGATCATATTGCCAGTAGTTTATGAACTTTGATTCAGCCATCTCCCTTGGGTTTCTTCCATTCAAATACAGTTTTTAAATATAAATACTGTATTCAATTGTTACCAATCATATAATCTTTGTATTACACCTCATAAATAATTAGATTTAACTGAAGAAAATAATTTTATCATAAAAAAATAAATAAACACTGACCCTGTGTAGAATAAATACCCTAAAGCTAGCTCTGTGTAGTTATGACTGTGTAATATCAACAATTAACTATTTAAACAATAAAGACAACATAGCTTACAGATGCAGATGGCTGTGGGTCTCCTAATAGATACCCTGGTAGGTAAGGCTGACCATGCTGTATCTGAGGTGTAGAGGGAGTATGTGCAGCATGTCCCTGGGGGCTGGATACAGGAGACCCTAGCGTCATTGGTTCTGTCAAACCTTAAAGTATGAATAATACTGAAAATTAGGACTCGGGACCTGTCTTTCATTTGACACAGATTGGCTGCAGCCTTGATTACCTTCAGACACATGGACATGCTCAGTTTTGGTATTGGGTATCAGAATGGCTAACTCCACATTGGTGGAAAGTGAAAATTGAGGGAATATATAAAAACATAAAAACTAAATAAAATTTCAACTTAAAAAGGTACAGCAAAGCGCTGTACACATTTAGACATTACCAATTAGCAATATCAATTTGACAGGTAATTTATTTTCCATCAAAAGTGTTCCATATACCCTCCTCAAACCTCCCCACAATGCACAGCACAAATTTTAAAATTCCGTATCATTTAGAGTAATATATTGGACACATTTTCTAAAAAATTCAAAAGATTATGTTCAGTGACCTTTCCTAAGCGCCTACTTTTAGCTATTTTTCAATCACATTTTCAGAGGGCTGACCATGTTCAATGTGATCCTGGTCATGTAAATGACACGTGGAACTAATTAAAATAACTGGAGGTCAAAACAGAACTCTGTTATCTTGGTTCAAAAAATGTTTGAAATCCAGCATTGTTTTGTCACTTCCTGTTTTGTCATTTCCTGTTAAGTACCATGGGACCTTAAACTGAAATGGGAAACAGAGCAATATCATCGATTTAAGGTCATAGCACGGAGTTGTTTCTCATTCCATTGAGAAAACGGACGAGAGTAAATCCCATATGGCATATGGTATATTATTGATGTTTGACCAATCACAAAATACTTCTCTGACAAGGGCTGAACTAAATGCTGAAATCTGATTGGCCAAACATCAATAATATACCATATCCCGCATGGGATTTACTCTTGTCCCTGACTAGTCCAACAACATTAGACCTAGCCTGGGCCTCGTTTCTTATCTGACATGTCTTATGGCCCCGGCTAGGTCTAACTTCCATGATGATTTTGCCCTTGTTGCGATCATTTAATCGTTCAGCAGGTTTCGACATGCGGAACTAATTAAACTCCGAAAACATGGTAATATTACATAAAGAATGTGATTCAAGCATGCATACATACCTTATAAATACATACACACCATCCCGTACCCCCCTTAGACCATATTGATGCATAATTACGAAAATATTGGAGACAGGTTTGGAATTTTACGAAAATATCGGTCAGCTCCGGTAACATCGAAATTGCAAATCGTATCAGGAATTAACCGTCATTGCGACACTGCATCAACGAACAGTAGGTTTGCAATTAATAACGATGTTGTGTGTATACAAGCGCTATATAAATCAATCAAAGATACCTGCTATCCTCAAAAATGGTTATTTTATCCCGAGTAATCGCGTGATAATTATCAATCTATTTGACAACAATTCCGTTTCAATAGTTTAAATTTTAACCCGGGACGAACAGACACAATGCCGGACATGCGGAAATGTCATTTTAGAGATTGGTAAGTTTAACCTCATTTTACTTGTATAAATGACCATTTAATACAATAATATTGTGTTGAATCGCTTGATGTTATGTGTTTTTATATTGTTGTCAATTAATAAGTAATTTCATGCGCGTTTAATTAATAACTGATAGTGAGAATTTGCAACAAATGAAAGCATACCACGGAAGTTAAACCCAATCACGGCAACAAGAACATTCAGATTAATAAATGAAAGCCGTGGTATTGGGTTTAACTTGTTGAACTAGTCCCTGACAAAACCATTTTGATTTTCAATTTCATTTCGAAAAAAAATCTTTTTTTATTTCAAAATAAGATGACGACATCAGGTGCCGCTAAAATGGCATCATATTTCGAAATTATGACTTATAAATTAATATTAAACTAATAATTATCTTCAAAACTTACCGTGATTGTCAGCTAAATTGGAAAACATCGATTAAAACTTTCACGTTCAAAATTTTAAAATTAGCGGAAGTGTGTAATGCGCATGCGTAATCGAATTTACTGAACGAAAAGTATAGAACTTTACAAGGATACCCGGGATTTAAATAGGCAAAAGCTGATCTACAATACAATGGTTCCACTTTGATATGAAATGAAAAGTTTCATATTTATTTATTTGGCCTCAATAAGGGGGCCTTTTTGGGCATTACTTGGTCTTTTTGGGCCTTTTTAGTCCAAATTACCAAAAATTTGCCCACAAATTTTCAAAATTTGAGTACAATTTTTGGAATTCTTTTCTCATTTGATTCGGGTCAATTAACATGGCAGGTATATAAGAAAGTTCTCTTAAACTTGAATATTATCAATTTAAGTGGCTCAATTTTCATATAACCCTTATGTGTCTGATACTTATACTAATGAAAATATATCCAGTAAAGCAAAATATTATCTGTCCACTAAAAGAAAAGATATTTCATTTTTTGTGATTTTATAGCATGGGGTCTATGGGGAATTTCCCCGAGCTAGAAGTCACATTTTCAAAGAAAATTAATTTTTCAAAGTTCATAAACACTTTTTAAAACCACATTTCTAGATATAATTTTACATGTAGATTTCAAATATGATATTACAGTTGGGGACATAAATAAATGACAGGTGGATTTGCTGAAGTGAGGATTTCCCATGTTAAAAATAAGAGAATTTTCAAGAGGCCATAAATCAGTGGATGAGATTATACAAAATGTAAAATATACAAATTTTAAGGGACATGTATCTAGACAATATTGGAAATTATGGGCTTTCAGACCACCATAATTAGGAAATGGTGATCGAAAATCGACCTGTCATTTATTTTTGTCCCCAACTATACTTTGACAGAATTTTGAATTTTTAATGACGTAAATCAAGATTATTTCTACTCGCATCTGGGTTATTGGCCAACAAGACAATATTGAACAATACAATCCAAATGCAGAGTTCAATAATCTCAATTTCATCTCCGTGAAATTTTTGTAAATTACAATTTTGGAGGTTCAGTGCATGGGCTCTGGATAGAGCCCATGTTCAGTGTTTCTGGTTCGATTTTTCGCACACATTTTTCTCAATTATTTCCATCATTCTTTAGCTTTGGATGCATAACAACATTAAAAACAATGTTTTTGTTCCACTGGTGGCAATTTGGTAAAACATGGGTTATGAAATTGCATTTGCTAGTGAATGGCTCAGATTGCCACTTGTGTTATTTGGCTTGAATTATTTTGGCTTGCTCAAGTGAACCACAGAGACAATCTGCCATTTACTAGGCCTATTCATCTACTCTGGTTATTTCACAAGAGCTAACTACTCCCAAAAGCAAGATAATACAATTTGAATTGTTGCTGATGCTGAATTCATCATAGATTTCCATCTATTGACCTTTTATGGAAAGTATCCAATATCATTTTATCCAAATGGTTTCTAGATACCCAGTTCGTCCTGCAGATTTTAACATTGATCACATAAATGGAAATCATGAAACTCCATCGCCAGAACGAGGCTGGGTGTGCAAGAGAGATTTCCATGTTGACCTAGATAAATTTGTACTGTACATTTATGTTAAAATTATAGATAAAACGTTATACGAACTGGATTACAACATTACAGGACTTAAGTAAAATATCTCCTTAACGGGGAGAGGGCAATTTTCATCATGCCTGTGTTCCATACGAAGACTATCGAGGGGATCTTGGAGCCGGTAGCTTTACAGGTTTGTGATTTTTTCTAACTTTTTTTCTTGTTAGATCTAAAACTGTCTTGCCATTTTGACAAAAACAACAACCATTACACTTTGGGGCTTGTTTGATTTCCTCTACACTTGTTTGTGTCGTATGATGTAGACTCTCACTTTCAAAAGCTACTATGTGTATTCTATATGAAAATGGCAAACTTTACTTCCCAGCTCAAACTTTTTCAGGAAGAAACTGTTGCTGAACTGATAGTGTTTTTTGATAATTCTAAAAGAGACTTACATTTTATAGCTATGTGAGTGCCATTATGTTTAATAGCTTTGTCAGAATAAATACTGTAAATTTAAGCTAGGTTTATATTGACAGGTCTTTTTCATTAGATGTTGACTCCTCAAGAGACCTGTGAAGACCTAAAATTGTCTTGTGCTGTACAGTGCTGGTATATATTAATTGATTAGTCGTTTAATTGGAATATTTCATTGAATTTTAACATTTAATGTCCCAAACTTCCACAAACTGCAGAAAAGTATACCCCATTGATCATATTTACCAAAATGAGTGTCTCCAAGGCTTCACACCAGCGTATGCATAATGCATTTGTCACGAGTTTGAGCTGAAATTTCGCCAAAATGAAGTAGGCTAAGGGTAGTCTCTGCCAGGTTTGTTTATTGTGGAAAGCTTGTAAGTGCTCAGAAGCAAATAATTCATGTGCGCAAAATAATCAAATAATCTGATTGGTTTAAACTTTGCTGCACATGCGCACAATGTGTGCCATGTTTTTTTCTAGTGATTTCGTTTCGTTTCATGGAGTTTGCGTTTCAGTGTAACTTCCGCAAAAATGGCGGACCATGAACAGAATTAACAGGTAAAATCACTTCGAAATTTCAACAGAACTTTTTACCTATAATAGCAAAACTTTTGTTTTATTTGTTCATTCTATCCACCAGATAAGAGTTTCAGGGGTATGTAGGCAAATTCATTTTGGTAGGAGCACTCTGTTTAGTTTGAAAACGCACCCTTTATTATTATATATCAGCACTGTAGCCCAGTGTTACTCACTTAGAGAGCAGTTAGATTTTGTAACTTATGGCTCTCCCACTGAGCAATGGACAGCTGAATTATAGTGACCTTTAAAACATTAAATTAATGTGCCTTACTTTTGCTCTCTAACTGTGTCCTACATCAGTATAATCCATCCGTGCAAGTATTGGAGCGCTGAAGCACTTCCTTTTTGACCAAGACTTGTAATTGCTAGTCGAGTGAATGTTTTTTCTGCCCAATTCCAATATGGCGTTTTTTGCTCGGAAACTATCGTAAATCTCCAGAGGTTTTCCGAACCAAACTCATTCTCAAAATTCATTTTGTTAGTTGTGTATCTCACTGCAAACCGCCACATTGGAATTGGGTCGAAAAAACATTTACTCGATGAACAATTTACAAGTCTTGATCAAAAAAGAAGTATATACTTGTACAGTGAGATGATACTGATGTAGGACATTAGCTGCTAAAAATCTACAATTTAAAAAGACACAACCCATTGACAACACTGAGTTGTCAAAAAATGAGGCACAAGAAATATGGCCAGGATCCTACTAGAATCCATTTCACTGCTTCATTTCGTCAGTAGAACAGCAAAAATAAGAAATTGGGAGACCATTGTGCAATAATATATGGAAAAGTATATTCATAATGTACATGAATGACATTTGTATATCTTGGATTGCTTCTAGTTTGGCTTATAAAGTGTGTGGCCTCTTATATTTGGATGTTTCTCTGCCATGTTATTTTCAATAAGATTAACATGGCTGAAATTCTTCAAATTTCAAGACGGCACAGGCTTATTGCACAAAAAACTAAAAAATCTGAAATATACAAATGTCATTCATGTATATTATGAATATACTTTTCCATATATTATTGTACAATGGTCTCCCAATTTCTTATTTTTGCCGTTCTACTGACGAAATGAAGCAGTGAAATGGACTCTAGCAGAGCTTTCATGTTTTCATCTCCCAACTAAACCATTGTAGGAGTAATGGATTCCATTGAGATATCTTTGCAAACCCATACATGGATTGAAACATGTGAATTCTAATTTCCGTGTAATTAATTTATATTGATTCATTCCTTCCTTAGTTTAAAAAGAAGACAGTGCCCTATGAAATCTAATCCTGAGCTATTTTAATTAGAACAACAGAACACAGATCTGCTATATTGCTATTTATAGCTGGTGTTATATTCTCTGGAAATGTGTAGGAGTCTATTTCTATTTCCACTGAGTCAGATCCCTTGTTGTGAATATATTGGCACTTGCATTAATCATGAAGTATGTTTGGCCCTTACCTTGGTCAGTAGGATGCCAAGGTCTTCATGGGCGTAGCGCTATTTTTCTAAGTAGTACGCCAACACGGGAACAAGATTTGAGCGAAGCAAAATACAAGCGTTTTAAGGGGTTTGGGGGGTTCTCCCCCAGGAAAATTTTGAATTTTGGTTGTATTTGGAGCGAATTTGCAAACATCTGGTATGCCTGTGCGTACCCAGCATACCAGGCGCTACGCCCATGGTCTTTGACTGTTTTCAGTATACCATATTGAAAATCAGCCATTATTTAGATTTTTTGATGCCAGCTAGTAATAGTGGGTCAGCATTGGTATCACAGGTTCCTTTAACCAAAGACTGGTGTCAAAAATCAATTATTGACCAAAGAAGTACTTTTTATTCACATGTTCATAAACATACTTGGCACATATAATATTATGTACTCAAGTAGGACATTGAGCAAGTAATGCAGCTTGTAATCAAGTTCATCGATTTGGAAATTGTTATCGTTAGTATTGGCCCATTGGCCAGAAGGATTATTGTTGTTGGTTATGGTCATCTTTGCCACCATCACTGAGTACATGAACAGGCAAAGATAGGTTAGGGATGTTCCAAATATATATTTTGGGGGACTAATGGGGCTACCAACTAGTGTTGTCGCGATTAATCGATACATCACTATAAACATCGCCAAAGCTGATTCTGGCGATGCATCGAAACAAAACATCGATGTTTTTAAAAAAATTTAATTTGCTAAAAATCACCATTTTTATCTTATTTTGACGCAAATCGCTTACCTTTCTCATGTCTTATTTCATTTTCCAATGTTTTCTGATATTCCTTCGCTTTAAAACTGTTTTAGGTAGTCGAAATGAACCATAATCTAAAAAAGATTTACTTTACTTTCATTTCACCTTTACTAGAGGTTCCCGGATGTACCAGTGTATTTTATTATTTTGTTCTGTTCGGTATTTTAGTGCATTAGCATTCGGTATTTCAGTGCACTTTTCTCAGACTTTTTCTCGATGT